CATGTGAGTGGAGATTCCAACAGTGCGTCCCAGGGCAGCTGTGGCTACAATGTAGCTGCCATCACCAGTGTGTGAATGTGTGTGTGAATGTGTGGATGACTGAATGTAGTGTAAAGCGCTTTGGGGTCCTTAGGGACGAAGTAAAGCACTACAGGCCATTTACATGAATGATGACTCGCTAAAAGAGCTGCATTTGGGCGATTGGACGTATTTATCGACCATTGACAATAAGCCGAGCCTTTCATTGATCATTTTTGCAAGAGCGATATATTTATTCATTTATTTATTTGCCCATTTGTAAGTTTGCTAATATTGTTAATTGAAGCTAAGAGAAGCAGTCAACAGAAAAAATAATAGTGCTGTTTTAACCGCACCCTCTTCCAGCTGCGAGCAAATCTACCCTCTTCAGAGTGCACCCAAATGCAGCAATTTCATTTACTCAAACTCATAACACAGAGAAAGAAAGGCCGTAACCTCTGTTCAGAAAACAAAACAAAACAAAAAAACCCATTTTATTTAAATTTCTCTTAAAAATTCTCTGACATAATGTTAAGTCTTTTCTGTGAGTTGGCGCATCTCAAATAAATAAATAAATGAATAATCCAAAAAGTAGCTATATTAATACCGAAACAAACAAGAAAAGAAAGTAAGATATTCCCTCCACACAAAGCGTAAATGACATGGTCCTGGGTCTTTTGACTCAGCGTTTTGTCTTTTCTATTATTGTGATGTATTCTAGTTGTGGTTTTCTAGCTTTTTGGTTCTGTTCTTTGTCAGTTTAGTGCTTAGTCATTCCTGCCTGTGTGTTCCCTCTGTGTTTCTTAGTCTTTGTCTTTGCATGTGTGAGTTCCTGTTTTATTTTGAAGGTCAGAGTCTCAGGTTATTGTATTCTGTTTTACTTCCCTCAGTCTCGTCAGCTCTGATTTCCCCCAGCTGTGTCTCTCTCCTGCATCCCATTACCTGACTGCCCTGTGTGTATTTAAGCCCTGTGTTTTCTGGGGTGTGTTGCTGGTTCGTCTGTGTGGTCTCCCTGCAGCTCTGTTTGTGTCTTCAGGGTTCAGGTTTGTTTTATTCTTAGTTTTCCCAGTTTAGGTTTTGTCAGTTCTGTTCTTGCTACCCTCGCCTTGTGTTGTATGTCATCCTCCTCAATAAAGCTCACTCACATCAGCATTGCCTGCATCTTAAGTCCTTTAATTATTCCCACACGGCTTGCCTCACAAACTATGACAGTAAATCAGTCTGTGCATGATTGCATTGCAACGCCCATCAAAAAGTCACCTGGGTGAATATATCGCCTGTTGTCATTTATTAAGCTGATGAATGACGGTTGGGAAAGTTTTACATATCGCCGAACATCAAAGTGTTTGAGGTAACTTAACTTGTCAGTTTTTGTTCCTCATGTGGGGTCAGCTTGGCTGCAATACACTGATGCTTTAATGATCTGTTGTCCTTCTAAGCAGGCCTCTGAGACCTACACAAGTGCTGTTGAAATGTCTTTCTGAGAACATCCACAAGGTAAGCCTCTCCCTATGTGGGACACATGATCATGTCAGAAGGTAAGTCCCTCTCCAGAGAGGATCGCAGTGAGTCAATCCACTCCAAAATCACGAAGAAATTTCACTAGCATATGGTCATGTTGCTGCCAATAGATCATATTTTACAAGAGGCTACACTGTCAGCAGTAATATAGGGGAGGGGAATGATTGCATAAACAATGGGCTAATGACGCAGACAAAGTTTTCGCTGACTTAAAACTGACAACACCAACTGCACCCAGTTTAGAACGACCAAATCCTGACTAAGGAACTGCGTGTGTTTCAATATTCTTTATCAGCAACACACACTGAATATGGACACATCTTGATTAGAATGTGAATGAGCACAATATCACAGATGGATAAATATGAGCCAGATCTGCATCTGTATGCATGCGAGTGGAGATTCCAACAGTGCGCCCCAGGGCAGCTGTGGCTACAATGTAGCTGCCATCACCAGTGTGTGAATGTGTGGATGACTGAATGTAGTGTAAAGCGCTTTGGGGTCCTTAGGGACTAAGTAAAGTACATTTACAGGCCATTTACATGAATGATGACTCACTAAAAGAGCTGCATTTGGGAGCTTGGACGTATTTGTCGACAATAAGCTGAGCCTTTCATTGATCATTTTTGCAAGAGCGATATATTTATTTATTTGCCAGTTAGTAGGGAAGGAGCCCGGATGACACATTTGGCAGTATCGCTCACCTGATTCTTAAGCACCTGGAAAATCCCAAGGCCTATGCCCATATTTTGTTTATTGACTTTAGTTCTGCTTTTAACATGTTGGAGCCGCCTCTGTTTTTACAGAAACTGAGTCTTTTCCCATCTTTGCTCTCAAACTATAAATCCATCAGCACTAGCGTACCTCAGGACTGTGTTACCTCACCACTCCTGTTTCTCTTATAAAATAGATTGTACTAGCTGTAACCCCAGTAATCTGATTTTCAAATTTTTCAATGACACTGCCATACTTAGCCTGCT